TGAGAGAATTCACCAGAGCCAGAGCGGGGAGCAGAACAGGCAGAAGGACCGAAGTACACTGCTGAGGGGAGCAGCGGGCGGCAGGAGAGGTCTGCACGCCATGTGGGACCCTCCTCCGGTGGCCGGGGAGCAGCCGGGGATCGAACTGGTGCCGCAGAGGCCGTGCGCAGTTTCGCAACCCAGCGCTCAACCGCTTGTCTTTGTTTTTTCCTGTACTTTTCTACCTAAAATCTAATGTGAAAAAATTTCAAAAATATACAAAATTTGAAAGGATCGTCTAGTGCTCACTAATATATACAGTTTACAGTTTATTTATCAGTTCTCCCACTGATGGTCAGTTGGGCCAGTTCCCATTGGGAGGCTATTATGGGTAAACCTGTTATAAATATTCTAGCACGAGTCTCTTTATTTCATACAAGACATATTGTGTTATTCCACTAGCTTCATGGTGCTTTTGACTCAAGGAAGTTTCTGATCTTGACAAAGTCCGATTCATCAACTTTCCTTTTTTTATGATTAATTAACCTATGTCCTAGATATGAGTATTCCTTTTTGCCTACCCCAACGCCATGAGTATGTATTATCTAATGTGTTTTTCTTAGAGTATTATAGTTTTTTTTTTGTTTTTTTTTTTAAAGATTTATTTATTTATTTATACAAGCACTGGGTTCAAGGTGAGAGAATTCACCAGAGCCAGAGCTGGGAACAGAACAGGCGACTGATGATACACTGCTGAGGAGCAGCGGCGCAGGAGAGGTCTGCGCCATGTGGGACCCTCGCCCGGTGGCTGGGGATCAGGGATCGAACCGGTGTTGCAGAGGCTGCGGGCAGCTTCGCAACCCAGCACTCAACCACTGCACCCGGGAGGCCCTAGAGTATTATAGTTTTACCTTTCAAACTTAGATTCATGATTTAATCTTAAATTAACTTGGGGGTTTGTTACAAATTCGAGGATGTTATGGGGGCCTTTTCTTCCATTTAAATGTTAAATTGTTCTAACATCATTCTTGTTCCTACTGAATTGCCCTGATGATTTTAGTGTAGAGCAGGTTTTATTTCCAGACTCTCTATTCCATTGATCTATTTGTCTGCCTTATGCCAATAGCACTGTATCTTAATTAATTTTTAAACTAAGTTTTAGATTAATTCTTGACTCTAGCAGATAAGTCTTTCAAATCCATTCTTCAAGATAAACTATTATAAACTTTTTATATAAAATTTTATTTTTTAATATTTTTATTTATATATGCATACAAAAACTGGGGTATAGACCATAGGTGATGGGGGGAGGGTGTGTGTGTGTGTGTGTGTGTGTGTGTGTGTGTGTGAGAGAGAGAGAGAGAGAGAGAGAGAGAGAGAATTCACCAAAGGGAGAGCCCGGAGCAGAACAGGCAGATATACTGAAATACTCTGCTGAGGGGAGCAGCATTGAGTCAGGAGAGGTCAGCTATGCCCTGAGGGTTAGCTCCCTGGCTGAGGATTGAACTCATGCTGCAGTGGCTGGCGACAGCTGAGATTTTTAACCCCTGCACCACCAGGGAGACCCCTTCATATAAAATTTTAAATCAACTTGTGAGATTTTTATGTAATGGCAATAAATCTATAGATCAAATTGGGAATAATTGATTGGAATGGTGTATCACTATTTAATTGGGTCTTCTTAAGCTTCTCCTGGAAACATCTTACAGTTTTTATTATAGATGTCTTATATATCTTTGACTTCATTCCTAGGTATGTGATGTTATTCTATGCTATAGTAAACAGTAATTTTAACATTTTTTTCTACTTGACTATTGTTAAAATTTTTAAATATAATGCTTTTCTCATTGGCCTGTGACAGGTCAGATCCACTTGACTTTTGCTAAATTCAACTTATTCTAGAAAGTTATCTATAGACTCAATTTGACTATAAATATGCAATCAAATTATTTGTGAATAAGGAGAATTTTTCAGCTTCCTTTTTAATTGCATGCCTTTTATTTCTTCTTGTTTTATTGCACTAGCTAGGATCCAATATGAAACAAAGTAATAAAAGTAAATATTCTTATTTCCTTCCCAACTCGGGAATCTTTCAATAGTTCACCATTAAGGTGGCATTTGCCACTGTTATTTTTGTTATGTGTACCTTACCAAAATGACAGTTCCACTCTAATTTTCCAAAACTAACATAAGTTTTTCTAAAATACTTTGTATATTTGTATTTTCTCTCACACTGATTCATAATAATTTAACATATGTATTTCTTTTGTTTTATTCTGTGATGTTCATGAAATAGTTTCCAAAACAGTAGCAGTACTAAAGTAACTACAAAAAAGGTGTAAGATTTCTTTGCCATTTTTTTTACTCTCATATCTCACTAAGGATATGTAGTCAGAGTTCACTGTTCTAGAAACAATTCTTTTTAGGGTTACAATACCAATTTAATATACAGACTGATTTATTTCATTTGCTTTTAATTTTATATTTTTATTGATTTTTTCAAGAATAAGCTAACATGGAAACAAGTAATTTCACCTCTTCTTTATTTTTTTTTTTTTTTAATTTTTTTTTTTTTTTAAAGATTTATTTATTGTTTATACAAGCACTGGTACAGTCAGAAGTGTGGAGGGTGAGAGAATTCACCAGAGCCAGAGCGGGGAGCAGAGCAGGCAGAAGGACCGAAGTACACTGCTGAGGGGAGCAGCGGGCGGCAGGAGAGGTCTGGCGCCATGTGGACCCTCCTCCGGTGGCCGGGGAGCAGCCGGGGATCGAACCGGCACTGCAGAGTCTGCGGACAGCTTCGCAACCCAGCGCTCAACCGCTGCGCCACCGGGGAGGCCCTCACCTCTTCTTTTATAATTGTTAACCTTCTGTTTATTTTCCACTGAGTGTTGTAGGCTAATCTTGGATAAACAAGTTAATTTTTGTGGGGATGGTGGCCATTCTTGCCTGGTTCCTAACTGAGCAGTCAATATCTATCATATTTCCTCTGTAAGCAAAATCCTGCTTTGGTGATGACTATATATTTAAAACATTCTCTTCTCTATATATTCCTATAATTTCAACCATAAATCTTACTTTCATTACCTCTTTTTCTACCTCAGTTTTCCCCTTTACAATCTACTGTTTTGACTAGTTGTTTAAATTACTTCTGTGATTATGCTACTTCTGTGTCTGTTCTGTTAAATGCAAACATCTTTGCTTGTCATGCAACTACTCTGCATGAGGTGTAGCAGTTACAAGCCTTTTTTAAATAATTTTATTTTTTACATCATTGTTCAATTTTAAACAATATTTGCTTTCCCCCACCCCCTCAGGTGTAGTCCCCATAGAGTTTCCTTCACCAATGCACCTGTGCACCATCACCTCAGTCCCCTGTGCTCCTCCCTCCCTCCCTCTGATCCCTCTCCCTCCTCCTCCCCTGCAGTATGTCTCTGGTTTATAATTGTCTGTTCTTGCTTTGTTGTGTTTTGTACTGTTATTTTTTTACACTAATGTCTTATTTGCTTTCCCTATATTCCTGCTATAAGTGAAATCATCCGATATTTTTCTTTTTCTTTTTCCTTCTGGCTTATTTCACTGAGCATAATTCCTTCTAGCTCCACCCACGTTGCTGTGAATGGCATCAGTTTATCTTTTTTGAGTGCTGAATAATATTCCATTGTGTATATATACCACATCTTCTTGATCCAGTCATCTATTTTTGGGCACTTGGGTTGTTTCCAGGTTTTACCTCTTGTAAATTGTGCTGCAATGAACATGGGCATACAGGTGTTCTTTTGAATCAGTGTTTTTGTGTCCTTTGGGTAGGTTCCTAGGAGTGGAATTGCTGGGTTGTATGATAGCTCCATTTTTAGTAGACTGAGGAACCTCCAGACAGCTTTCCATAGTGGTTGGACCAGTTTGCACTCACACCAGCAATATAGGAGAGTTCCTTTTTCACCACATGCTCGCCAACATATGTTGTTGCTTGTTTTCTTGATATGTGCCATTCTTTCTGGTGTAAGGTGGTATCTCAATGTGGTTTTAATTTGCATTTCCCTGATTATAAGGGATGTCGAGCATTTTTTCATATGCCTGTTGGTCATTTGCATTTCCTCTTTGGAGAAATGTCTTTTAAGTTCTTCTGCCCATTTTTTGACTGGATTATTTATTTTGTTTTTGTGGGATCATGTGAGATCTTTGTATATCTTTGTGATCAGTCCCTTATCAGTTGACTGGAGTGCAAAGATTTTTTCCCAATCAGTGGGGCATCTCTCTGTTTTGGTTAATGTCTCTTTTGCTGTGCAGAAGCTTTTCAGTTTGATGTAATCCCAGGTGTTTATCTTTTCCTTGACTTTCTTTGCTTTGGGTGATGAGTCTTTAAAGACGTTTTTGTGATGTATGCCTTGATCTCAGAACCAGTTACAAGTCTTAACAAGACATGAATGGACTGGGATTGGGTTGGAGAAAGTATAGGTAGGCTGTGAAAGCAGAGAAAAGGGAAACCAGTCCATGTGCAGTTTTGTACAGAAGAGGTATCAAATCCCCAGTGGCATGAATTGGAGAATAATAATCCAGAATTAAAAACAGTAACTGTTAGAGAAGAGAGGCAAAGCTGGGAAACTCAACCCATGTTTGAGGAGAAAGAATCTCTTTGAAGACATAAAAATTCCTTCCCAATGATATTAATAAAGCACAATTATCTGGTTCTAATTTATCATTCCAACCTTTGTAAAAACTATTGCACTTGGCAAACTCACCTGAATTTAACTACTTTCTGTACCATTTCTGCACTTTGGATTTCTAATTACATTCACTGAGCCCTTGACACAGCCCCTCTGTAGCTATGGGCCAAATATCTGCTGGACACAGGCACAAGCTCCCTACATATAAAACAAAAGAGATTTGATCATGTCCTCTACTCCAACTAACCTCTGCTCAATGTGTTTCTTTTTATTTTTTTAAACATTTATTTATTTATTTTTTATAGAGGCATGTTTTATTTATTTGTTTGTTTGTTTTGTTTATACATGCACTAGGCACAGTCAGGAGCGCGGGAGTGTGAGAGAATCCACCAGAGCCAGAGCTGGGAGCAGAGCAGGCAGAAGGACCGAAGTACACTGCTGAGGGGAGCAGCGGGCGGCAGGAGAGGTCTGCGCGCCATGTGGGACCCTCCTCCGGTGGCTGGGGAGCTGCCAGGGATCGAACCGGTGCTGCAGAGGCCGCGGGCAGCTTCGCAACCCAGCGCTCAACCGCTGCGCCACCGGGGAGGCCCCATCAATATGTTTCTTGATCTCTGTTCCTAGAAATAATCTCTGGCTCTGAATTTATTAATGACTAACTGTTCTTCTCTTTTTGATACCTCAGTTTCTACCATCTGCTCTCATTATTTAAGTGCAGACTTATCCTCTGAATAAAGTGGAAGCTTCCTGCAGTAACTTAGACTGATTCATCTTTGGATTCACATAACTTCTACAACAGCAGCCTGAACCATGATGATAAATAATCATGAATGTCTTTGATGTGATGGTTTAAAAAACATTCTAGTTCTCTTTTGCTGTAATCTTATTAATACAACCTAAGTTTATGTTTACATTCCTTCCTCCTTCCCTTCTGGTAACCACTAATGGGTTTTATAGTCCAAAAGTTTATTTTTGTTTTATTTGGTTCATCTGTTTGTTTTCTCTGTGAACTCTATATAGGTGATATCATACTGTGTTCTTTTCTGTCTAGCTTATTTCACTAAGCATAATTTCCTCTAGACCCATTCATTGTTGTGAATGGCACAAATTTATCTTTTTTAATAGATGAATAGTATTCCAATGATCTATGTATACTACTGTTTTTATTATCCATCCATCAATTGATGGACACTTTCCATAATGGCTGCACCAATTGACATTCCCACTAACAGCATATAAGGGTTCCCTTCTCTCTGTTTCCTCTCCAACACTTGTTTTTGTCTTTTGAATAATAGACATTCTCATATGCATGAGATTTTTGTTTTGATTTGTATTTCTCTAAATAGAACAGATGATGAACATCTTTTCACATGTCTCTTGGCCATCTGCATGTACTCTTTGGAGAAGTGTCTATTGAGATCCTCTGACCATTTTTTATTTGGGTTGTTTGTTTTTATTGTTGAGTTTCATGAGTTTTTATATATTTTGATATTAACCTCTGAGTATATGTCTGATGTGCAAATATCTTCTCCCATTCAGTACAATATTTTTTCAATTTCTTGCAAGTTTCTCCTGTTGTGCAGAAGCTTTTTTGTTTGATATAGTCCCATTTACTTATTTTTGCTTTTGTTTTCCTTACTCTTAGAGTCAAGTTCCCAAATACATCTCTGAGACTGAAGACAAGGAACATATCACCTATGTTTTCTTCAATGTATTTTAATCTAAATCTTTCATTGAATGAATTTTTGTGTGTGGTATTGGTGGTCTAAGTTTCATTTTCTTGCATGTGACTTTCCATTTTCCCCAGTATCATATATTAAAGAAACTTCCCTTGCTCCATTGTAAGGTTTTATTTCTTTGTCATAAATTAGTTGTCATATCTGTATGGTTTTATTTCTGGATTCTTAATTCCGTTCCATTGAGCTGTGTGTCTGTATTTTACTCTAGTACTGTACTGATTTAATTACTATCACTTTGTAGTGTCATTAACCCTTCACTTTTTTTAGAGACCTATTCTAGGTCTTCCTTGACTTCTTAATTTATGCACTACAGTCAGAAGCGTTGAGAGAATTTACACTTAGAGCTCTGCTACCATTGTCTTCCTCGAACTGCACTCTTCTCAACCGCTTCCTTGACTTCTATTTTGAGACCAATCTTCAAAATTTAGGTGTAGTCTTATTATTGCTTGCCAAATTAGTCTATCCAAATTTTACCTTTTGAGACTCTTACATGCATTCTGTGGAGATGTTGATTCTATTGCCCAATCATAATCAATTCCTTCAACTTTTAGTCATTTATCTATTTGGTAAGCATTATTTCTAGGTTTTCATCAAGTAGCTAATAAAAATATGAATAATTATGAATCCTTCATAAAGCTATCCAAAAAACCCTCCACGCCAATGTGGATTGATTAATCTAAAAGTATTTGACCACTATGACTAAATTAGCTAAGAATCTAATTAAATAATCTATAGTATTATTTTCTATATCACATTTCCTAGATTTATGCATAAAGATATGGTTGTCTTTGTCAGATGTCTCACTAAACCAGAAATAATTTATCAGTATCTTTTCTTTTATCTACCAATTTCTTGGAAGAAAATAAGATTACTTGGGCTTGCCGTGCTTCTGATGAACCCAAAATAGCACCTACTGCCCTATAAAAGGATTCCGATTTGCTTAACAATGTCTAGCACTCATGTTCACCTGGCTCTCCCAAAGTTGAAGGGAAGGTGTTGCTCCCACAGAGAGAAAACAACTTGGTGACTCACTCAGAGGATAGAAGTTATTCCTCTCCACAGGTAATCACAACCTGACAGCATGAAGTAAAGTAAATAAACTTGCATTACTCATCCTACTAGACTGCCTATTGATGAGAAATTCAGAAAGTGGGTAGAGCCTCCCCATTGCCTCCCAGCACCCACACATAGTCCACAGAGCTCCATAGCACAAGACCAGCTTTTCAATATCTCACAAACGCATCTTATAAACTTTCATTTTCTAATCACCAGATCCTACTTAAAAAATGTCCACTATCAATTCTATAAGTCATTCCTAAGGATGTTCCTAAAATACAGGTCTTTCTAGCATAGTTTTTGAGAGACATTTTCTCTGAGAAAAGTTATTTTGGTAACTGGTACCCACTGTATATACTTGATTTGAGGTTTTGTCTCATGCTTAACCAAAATTCATTTGTTTGAGGTGGGGGAGAGGATTTTAAAATTTTCAGTTTGGATATTGCCTTTTTCTAATCAAGTTCAAAGATAATTTTTGAAAACATACTTCCATAGATTTGAGTATTCCTTGGCTCTCAGCAATCCTTCTAGGCAAAGTTCATAATTCTATTAATTACTTTGTGCATAGTGGGGTATCTTTTTATTCAGGGCAGTATTGTACATCCAAGAAATCCCTTGAAACTGGGTTGAACTGGATCCTGTCCTTGCTATCTGCATTTTCTATAAAGGAATTAAAACAAAATAATTCCATTTAATAACCAGTTGGGGGAGGGGGCATGAAAAGCGGTAGAACAAAAATATTGTAAGTAAAATCATCTTAGGATGATTTCCAAAGTAAAAAGGCATTCAGTCAGCAGATCCTGATATAACATTTTTCAACTTCTGATTGAAATACATAAGAAGAAAGATTGCCAGAATCACAATTAAAACTGACAGTTTTCCGATGGGCAGAAGCAAGGGGGAAACTCTATTTAGCAGAAGTCAGATGGAATTGTTTAGAAAAGTTTAATCAGCTGTATGCCCTTCCTATGGCACTGGTGGGGGGGGGGGAAGCAAGTTTTCAGGCAGGTCAGAAAGCTGTCCCCTGGCCCTGAATGAAGGAAAGAAAAGCTGTAGCCATGAAAAATTACAGTCAACCTTTCCCCATATGGGAGCTGTGTTTCAATGGACCTGGAGTATCCTCTCCTTCCTTCCTTTTCTTCTCTTTTAAAAATTTTTAAATGTCATGATAAAAACTAGGCAGGGGGCCTCCCTTGTGGCACAAGGAGTTAAGCACCACACTATGAAGCAATCCACAACCTCTGAAGCACGAGTTCAATCCCCAGCCAGCAGGGAGCAACCCACATGGCCAGGCGACCTCTCCTGTCTCTCCCACTGCTCCCCTCAGCAGTGTATTTCAGTCAGTCTGCCTGTTCTGTTCCCCACTCTGTCTCTGGTGAATCCTGTCACCCCCTGCATCTCTGGCCTGTACCCCAGCTCTTGTATGCATAAATAAATAAATCTTAAAAAAAAAAAAAAACTAGGCAGGAACTGGGGTAATACTGGAGTGCTGTAGTCCTTATGTAAACACTGTAGAGACTTCAAGACAGAAAGAGTTGTGAAAATAGAGGTACTTGGCAATTGTAATGTTTCTTGGATCCCGCCAATCAGAGAGTAATAGAGATAGTGGGGCCAGGAGAAGATAAATCTCAGGCCACTAGATGAAAGCTGCCTGTCAGCACCCCCGTCTCACTACAGATCTGAGAACCAAACGCCCAAGCAGAAACCCAAATCATTGTGTGTGTTGGCAAACCATCTGTCAACCATCCACCCCAAATGTCCCATTTTGTACAATTTGCCAATTTCCCTAGTTTTAACACTCCCACCATGGTGGATCTACCAATGTTACTGGATCGTCACCAGAACACAAGTTGGGAAGAGACACACACAATCCTGAGTGGTGCAAACTGGCTCCTCCACACTCCCTGGCAAACAGTACATGTGGATGAATTTCTCTTCATTCTAAAATGAACAAAGGAGAAACTGCCAGAGAAAAATGCCTAAGGAATGAAGAAAGAAAATTGTAATAGTACAGCACTTCCTATTCTTAAGTACTTTATACTTACAAAGAGCATGCCATTCACGCCTGCCCCACGCAATAACAGTAGTATAATTTTAAGACAACATTCTGAAGTTTTGGAAGGTAATTTGCCCTGCTCACGCAGCTATTAAATGACACATTTGGTCTTTGAACTGCTGAACCCAAAGCCTATATACTTAAACTCTATGCTAAGCACAAAGTAAACTTGCAATAAATGTCCTGATATCTTGACTGATAATATTGTGAGAAACCATTCCTCTTACTTACAACTTGTTGCCATTTTCACTTTTTTTCTCTTTTGAAATATGAGATTTATGTTTAGGAACTTCAGTTACTGTCTCCTAATTTAGGAATTAGGGTGTGTGTTTGTTGGGGGGCAGCGTCCATGAACTTCTCTCCAGGACTCCAAATGTAATAGAGACTAGAGGTTGGGACTGACAGTGCTAAATAAAAGCACTCTGTCATCTATCAACCCTCTGGTATTCTCCTAAATTCATGCCAGAGTCTTTCTTTTTACTATTTGTCATCAGTATTAATATCCATGTAGATGGGTCATCCAACCCTCTAGCTACATGGTGGCTTAACAGATACAATGACCTTTATTCCATT